ACGAAGAACCCCATGGTTGATGAATTGCAGATCTGGGTTTTGAAAGAACGAAGAGGGGAAGTAGACAAAAATGAGAGAAGCCGATCCCGGAATCCTGGAATCCCTAAATCCCCAATTTTATTCCCTAAACAATTTAAGGGTATATCAGTAATTTTGGTCTAATATGCTAATTTTAAGTGATTTGTCCAAGTGTGCCTCCACGTCATCATCCATCTCAGCCAAAAATGGCCACGTCAGACACGGAGGAATGGCTGATGAACGGGACGTTAAATGATAACGGAAATGTTAAGAGGAGGGCTGATTTGCCACTGCAGGGGAGTTGAGGGGCTGATTTGCACGTGAAGTGGGTTGAGGGGGTGATTTGCCACCAGTTGTTGAGTTTAGGGGCTGATCTGCACCTTTTGCCAAAAAGTTTCATGAAATTTTATTATTTTAACTCAAGATTCATACTAATGAGTCGAAGTGAGCTATTCCACCGGTGATGGGTTTTTGGGTGTGAATATGACTATATTTTATATATAATTTGAGTAACATTTGTAATTTTTTTAAAATAGAAAGTTATGGTATTTAAATAAATTAATTTATAAATTGATTTTAATTTATTAAATAATAATTTTTAATTATTTTATTAATTATTAATTATTTTTAATAATTAAATTAATATTTTTTAAATAATTTTATAATTTTATTAGTGAACACCATCACTCCCACGTTTTCCTCTTACAATTTGGTACCATGACTTTTGGGAATCAGCAGAGTCAGAATCGATGGGTGTGGTCATAACCATCCATTGTTTTGTTAAGATATATTCAAATTGTATAATTTAATGATAAACTCTTAATTTGATCTTTAATTATTATATGGATCTTTAAATTGATTTCTAAATTAAAAAATCCTTGATTTTGTCATTAAAATTTTAAAATTTGATTTTAAGTTGGTCTCTCTATTAAAAATCAATTAATGTGTCCGTTATTTGAAAGTAAAAGATCATTAGCAACCACGTATCATGTTATTAATATAATATATCAGTTGTCTTTAAACAAAGAAATCAATTTAAAGTCAAATTTAAAAATTTTAATGATCAAATTAAGGATTTTTTTTAGTTTAGGGATTAACTTAACAATTCATACAATAATTAAGGGATCAAATTGAAAGTTTAATTATAATTTAATTATTAGAAATAATTGATTATTAATATTTATCATTTAACATATTGAATTCGATATATAAATTGAAATTTTCAATACCATAATTAATTATTTAAGAAAAAAACAACAAACTAATAAAATATCAATCAAACTAGATAATTTTTTAATGATCTTAACAAAATAATAAGCGATTATAATCATGAAAAAAAAAAATCATCATCTTTGATTCATATTTTGTTATTCAAACTGTATTATACTGTAAAACATCAATCAATAAATGAAGAGACCCTTCTTTAATATCATACACCTCTACTAATTTAATGATTAATAATTTCTCACCATTAAGAAAAACAAGCATCGTTAAGATAACTTTTGATTACGTAACGACAATCATATCGACCATTTTTCCTATAAAAAAGGGAAAATCACATCCATTCCAGAATGAAAGGATGTAGCTACCATCCAGGAATTAAAGCTAAAAGGAGTATTAATGGGACAAACCAAATTGCAAAAACAGAATAATTCCTTTTTAATCTAGCATCTAGATAAGTATGGAACGTGTGTGCATATATATTAAGTTATAAAATGAGAAATAATAATTTTTTATCTTTTTATTTACCCTGTCAATATATCAATCTTTCAAACTTAAAATTTATTATTATTTATTAACATTTAAACACCACTAACAATTTATTAATTTGAATAGAAAAAATTCGATTTCTCTTAATTAAAATCTCAGTTCAAATTTTATGAATGGAAAAACAAATATTGGGGCAATTCTGAGGGAGTTTTTTTTTTTTTATAATATTTAATGTAATTCGATTCCAGACTAATCAGAACCCAATATAATTACTAGATATCAAAAGATTAATACAAAAAAAAAAATAAATAAATACCATTTACTCATTAAACATATGTTGATATTTTCATAACCCATACATGGCCGGATAGTGAAAACCATAATCATGCAAAAAGAAATACGTAAAATCTCTAATCAAAATTAGTTGTCGATTTTGACTTTTGCAAATTACCTAATTATTGTTGACAGCTTTCACTTATATAAAAGAATATTTTACCAACTAACATTCATATATAAAATAACATTATTTAAAAATAAAAACCGGCATTTACCTATATAAATTAAATTTTCTTGTGGACAATTAATTTTGTAAAGAGGTAATTGAATGCAAACAATGTGAATAAATGTATAAAAAAAAAGGGGCATGATTTTGTACTAATAAATAACATTCTTAATTATGCAATTGATTTACATGAAGTATTCGACTATAGAAACAAATAAATGAACAAAAAATTAACTACTTAACTAGCTATTTCTTCCTCATTTCTTCAAATTGATTAGCAATACAAGCAAGGTCATATACCTAAGTAAATCCCTAGAGGTTGAAGAACAGCAAATAATAATGCATTTCAAAAATTAATCAAAAGGTCAATCCTTGCTTTCTTTTACTCCATTTCTGCTTATCTTATCTCAGTTTCCTGGGGTTCCTGTTGATTAGGGCATGGAAAATGAACTGGTTTATCAAAATTCAACAGCTCTCAGCCACAGGAATGAGAAATTTCTTGCAGTCATGATCAACCTTAATTCTCAGGTGAGGACAGTCATTACAAAGTTAATCCTCATATACGTACCAATGACATTACTGGGATCCCCTTACTTGTAAAACTCGAACACTTGACCCGCAATTCCTGGCCTAGCTCATAAGCTTCTTCTCCATTGTCCTGCATAGCATGGCAGTCAAAATAAATAAACCTTCTCACTGTAAATAATGCAACTATCAAGGACAGGAAAATGGAAGGCTGTAAAAGAATTAACTAAAGGGACTGGCAAGACAATCCCGGAGTGCTAGCATGGAGAATGATGGCCATTAATTAGACATGGATTAAACATTGCAGCTAATGTTATATAATAAGATGATACTTACATCAAATCGGTACATGCCACGAATTCCACCACCCAAATCAAGAACTAAACCGCGTGTGCGAATTTGATATACTGTGGCAGTAACCTCTGTTCCTATCTTCAGGCTTTCTGCTGTCATAGGAGGCTCAATATGGGTTCCCTTACCATTCTGATTATCCTTAGTAAGTGCCTCAGACACAAAATCACATTTGCCTTCACCTTCATCCTCACTAAAAATTGTAGATCTAAAAAGGCTGGAGAAAGTTGATTTCAGCTTATTATCCACTTTTGAAGTGCCTGATCGTTTGGGGGTGCCTTTGGTACTCTGCACAAACCCAGCAGATTTTTCCTCTTCATCACATTCTGCAGCACTTCGAATAACTACAGTTGGGGATGAGGAGGAAGAACTTTTGCTCACAAACAACTCCTCTTTAGTAGTTTTCTGATGCTCTTCACCATTGGATATGTCCCCAACTGGTGCCCAAATATCAGGTGCTTTTCTAACAAGATTAGGTTCTTCAGCAACATCGTTAGCCTTACCACTTGGCCGAGGCAAAGTTGCTTTAAGAGACAGTTTGATATTACCACGAACATCTTGCCCTATACACATCAAAGAAAGTTTCTGGCCAACAGACACCACATCTGAAACCCGAGAGACCTGATAGGAAGATAGGTACAAGTTAGAACCAACACAAATCAGAATATATAGGTGAAAGCATTGTATTTTTTAATTAAAGAAAAAAGGAAAAAAAAACAAGAAAAAAAGAAGACCAAACAACTAGACAAACCCAAAAGAAAGAAACTGTAACTAAAATATAAGATGTAGCATGCCAAAAAAAAAAGTCAACTATAAGAGCAACTGCCCCAAGTCTAAACTTGGACCAACATTTCTTAACATACCGGTTCATGTGACAACTCAGAAATATGTAGCAGACCCTGCTGGCCACCATTAAACTCCACAAAGGCACCGTATTCTTTGACTGATGTTACAATCCCTTTATAGATCCCACCAACTTCAATTTCACGTCCAATGATAAAATCAATCTATTGAAATAACAAATTGTTCAGGCTCATAAACTTGAGAAGTCATAAAGGAAAACAATGCTATCTGCTACCTGAACATGATAAAAAACTTGGCCTAATAAAGAGGACATAATTGAAAATATGTGACATGCAGTAATCAATGAGGTCTAGTTTCACTAGTAAATTTGAGAAAGAGATTACCCCAAGCACTGTTAAAAAAGAGTGTTTCATGTGTTTAAATCTAAAAATGAGGATCCATTACAAAAACACAATTTGGTTAATTGAAGAGAAATTAGAGAATTTGAAGAGCTTAACAACTATTAATGTGGAAAGAAATAAGAACAAAAAGTCAGTTTAATCTTTGCATGAATCTTCTACAAAGTAGAGAAACAAAACGTGCCAATTGAAATAAGGAAAGCAGCAATAGACCTTTTCTTGTACTTTGTCCATCACAGCTTGACTCTTAGCAATGATAGTAAGAGTTCTGTCACCAACAGAAATCCTTGCACCTGAACCATGAGAAGCATAAAACATTGTTTGGAAACAAGTAATTGTAAGTAAACATGCACTTACAAAAATAACATGCAGATGCAGGGACGGAAGTACTTTAGGTGAAGCATGTAAACTAAAAGGCAAAACTAATCAGTTGAGCAAATAGGAATAAAATCACCAAAAATT